CCCTACAGCCTCCAGAAGGAATGCAGCCTTGTCAACATACTGATTTTAGCCCAGAGAAACTCACTGCAGGCCTCTGACCTCTGAAACTGTACAATGCTACGTTTGTGTTGTTTTAAAAACAGCACACTTGTGCTAATCTGTGGCAGCAATAACCGTAAACCAATGCACATACTAGCAAATAACCTACCTAGAAAGAAACCCCATTGTCTTACCTGTATCCATTGGTCGTTCTGTATTTAAACTGTCCATGCTGCCCTGGTGTCCACCTAAAGGTATCTTCGCTTGTTGGTCTGATAATTTCCCAGCACGGACAGATCTAGACAGAAGGCATGATGTTCATAATGGAAAGTATACTTTATTTAATTTTATTTATTTATGTATTTACTTATTTACTTATTTACTTATTTATTTGTCAGAGAAAGAGAGGGCACAAGCAGGCAGAGAGGCAGGCAGAGGCAGAGGGAGAAGCACACTCCCTGCTGAGCAAGGAGCCTAATGTGGAACTGGATTCCAGGACCCTGTGATCATGACCTGAGCTGAAGACAGAGGCCACCCAGGCATCCCTGGAAAGTATACTATAAAAATCCCAATATTTAAAATAATAAGGGAGATTAAAGCCAAGCCACAAAAGGGCTAAAGGGAAGTCAGAGAATAAGGAGACAAAAAATAGATACCAGACAATTCAGGGTAGAGATGAACTTCAATAACCCAAACAAACAAAAAGCATACATAGAACATTCAGGAAATTCAGTGAGGACTCTGTATTCAGTCACAGGAAGCACCTGTGGTTTTCACAGATTCTAAATATATACAGTTCATATCATTACCCAAGTGGTGTAGACCAGCTACTAAATTAATTTGGTCTGGTTTGTCCTTATCATAGAAATAGATGTGCTATTGCAGTTTTCACACTGAAGGCTGGGAGGAAATGGTGTCTTTTACCTGCCAAACACCGCTTTGTTCTGCTGCTCAGGCTTCTGCCTCTCGCCCCCTTGAGCTAGGAGACAATGAGGGCACTCCCGTGGCTCGCTCCCATCTTTAGTCTGCCCTTCAGAGGGCCCTTGGCGAGTCACCATGGCTAGCTGGTTGGAAGACGCTTGCATTTTAGGTATTTTGAAAGGAGCTGTGGTCTGAGGAAACACATGCAAACTGGTTCCTACCCCGCGTGCAGCATTTGGAATCGTCAGACCTAAGTCAGACCTCGATTCACATCCTGCCTCTTCCACTGACAGCCTCTGCAGCCATGGACAGCTCACTCATTCTCTTTAGCCTCAACTTCCTTTCTTCAGGAATCAGTGGGATCATGTATAAAAAGCATTCGGCATGAAGTACTTAGACTGTGCCTGGCTCATGGCAAGTCCTCCTTAAATGGTAGCTATTCAATATCACCATGAATCTTTTCTATCAAGCACAGTAGCCCCCATCGTAGCTTCGCTTTCTGTGGCCGACCCTGGTCTAGAAGCAGGTGATCCTCCTTCCGATACACCAGCAGAAGGTCAGTGGTAGCCTAACGCTGGGTCACGTGCCTATGTCACTCCCTCACTTCATCTCTCCATGCAGGCCTGCTCCCACCTCATATCCTCTGCTTCTCCCTCTCCCAGTGCCCCTCCCAGCATCACTTGTGCTTTCTCTCTCTCTCAAATAAATAATTTTTTTAAAGATTTAATTTATTTATTTGACAGAGATCACAAGCGGGCAGAGTGGGAGGCAGAGGGAGAGGGAGAAGCAGGCTCCTCACTGAGCAGGGAGCCTGATGTGGGGCTCGATCCCATGACCCCAGGATCATGACCTGAGCTGAAGGCAGATGCTTAATCGACTAAGCATCCAGGCACCCCAATAAATGAAATCTTATGTTTTTTTTTAAAGATCTTATTTATTTGACAGAGAGAGATCAGAAGTAGGCAGAGCAGCAGGCAGAGAGAGAAGGGGAAGCAGGCTCCCTGCTGAGCAGAGAGCCCGACGTGGGGCTCGATCCCAGGCCCCTGAGATCATGACCTGAGCCGAAGGCAGAGGCTTAACCCACTGAGCCACCCAGGCGCCCCCCAATAAATGAAATCTTAAAAAAAAAAAAAACTGCCCCATGATTATTATATATTATATATATTCTGGGTGTATTTTGAGAGAGAGAGAGACCACATTCACTTAACTTTCACTGTGGCCTATTATAACTGTTCTATTGTATTATCAGTTATGGTTATTAATCTCTCACCATGCCTAACTTATAAATTAAACTTTATCGTACTATCTGTGGTTTCAGTCAACCGTGGAGAGTCTTGGAGCATATCCCCAGGGGACAAGGGGACTAGTGTCGTGAGTTCAGCTAAGCTACCCCACAGCACTGCGGACTCCACATCACTCCATGTGGCCACGCAGCTGCAGGGCCTTAAACGGACACCGGCCCCGCATGCAAGTGCAGGCCCTCGAGAGCAGACTGCAGTCACAAGTACATTTAAATTCTGGAGATGACTCCTTCAACACCCCTGGTGGTCTAGTCTCCCCCATCCCCCAGGCTTTCCCCTTGGATGTTGCACACACAAAGACTCCTGTGGAGCTTACTAGAATCCCATTTTTTTGGCTCAAACTGACCAATCCTGCTTTAGCTCAGGAACCCCAAAGTCCTCCATCCCGGACCCTAATAAAGGCATGTGCCCTGGGTCCTGTCTCTGTCTGCACCTGCCTGGACGTCCCCGTGTAGTCTCTTGAGGCATGCCAGGTACTTCTGCCAAGATACGTGAGCAACAGACTTCTCTGTTCCAGTCTCTCTGTGGTGGTCTGCTGCTGGACCTGAGCTCACCATACAGCACCCCGTGCTCCATGTAACGAACATTAACTGAACAAAGTCGTCATGCCGACTAAAGAGCTTAATGAACACACCTTAGTAGGAGAGCCAATGATGGTTGGTAAAGGAGTTTTAAAGAACCAGTCTGAACTGCGAGGAGAGGACCCCGTGTGCTTGGTGGGAGAGGTTCCGAGGCTGCCGGGCCGACTGGGCTGAGGTGAATAGCTGTACCCAGCCCCGGCGTGGGACGGGCACACGGGGTCCGAGTGCTGCTTTCTGAGTTTCTGCTTGTTCTGGTAGATGTCGGTGAGGGTCGGGGCGCTCTGCAGCCTAGCGCCCGACAGGAGAGACTGTGGTGACGGAACCGGTGGCACTGGGGAACCTGCCACGGACACACATGCAGGTTAACCCAGAGCGCAGGCAAACACTGAAGAAGTCAGAGGACAGTACTCGAAATGGGAAGTCTAATGAATGTCATGTTCTTCAGGAGATATTTTTAAAATTGTGTATTTGGCAAGAGATGATTTTGGGGATAGGTGTGGGTAATGGTGGTGGGTATGTTAGCCGCTCTTAGCAGCGGCTAGCATATAACTCTAATTAGCACAAGAGAACTACATCATAAATGACCAATGTCAATAAAAACTACAAAAACCTGGGTGCCTGGGTGCCTCCATTGGTTAAGTGACTGCCTTCAGCTCAGGTCATAATCCTGGAGTCCCGGGATCGAGTCCCACATCGGACTCCCTGCTCGGCAGGGAGTTTTCTTCTCTCACTGACCTCTCTCCTCTCTTGTTCTCTCTCTCTCTCTCAAATAAATACATAAAATCTTAAAAAAAAAAACTACGAAAACCTCTGTTGAACTGAAATCAAATGATTTCTACTTCTTATGTGAATGCATACTTGGGGATATCAATGTATTACTCTCTTTTCTCACCTAGAAGCTAAAAGAAACTTTTCAAACCAATCCAGAATAACCGTTTATCTAATTAGATAATACACTTTTCTGGGATTTTATTTTACTTGCCTAAAAATCACAAGCATATATGGATAATTTAATTATTTTTATTAGTCTCATGAATGAAATTCATTTGTAACCTAAAGCGTCCCTGTTCTCCACAAAGAAAACCCTCGTCCACAGGAACCTTGCCACCTCAGGGGACACCGCAGTAAGAGCCTGAGAAATAGGGTCCTGATACGGTGAACGGCTGGAACGGCAAGAGGACTGCCCTGCACAGACCTTGTTGCCAACTTCAGGTCTACTAAGCCAGCCCGGAGCTCCAGATACAAATTCTTCGGAGCTTGTTGCAAGCCAAACTACCACCAATAATTTATAGGTACGGACCTATAGCCATAATCTTCCCAGAAAGGAAATTGGAGTTTTTGCTACTGACCGCTTCTAGCCTAATCTCATCCTAAATCTGGTATTTAATCTTTCAGAACTGGGTTCTGCCGTCTGTGTGTGTGTGTGTGTGTGTGTGTACGTGTATATATGCATAAATATGCACATAGAAATAAATAAAATTAGTAGCAGAATGTTATAAATCTGGAGAAAGTTATCTAAGGTTTATTTTTAGGGAAACACAAAATATGAAAAACTGAAAAACTAAGAAAAGGTGCTTTTCTCAGTGACACAGTATTCCTTTAATTAGCCAACTCCTCAAATTCACATATAAAATTTGACTAATAAAAGTGTGATTTGCACATATCTTTTATATATTTTATATTAAAGCAAATTAAACTATATTTCTTGTTTATCTCATGCTAACTAGCAGCTGTTATCAAGAACAGTATTAGGAATGAAATTTCATTTTCTAGATTGGTTTTCTTTCCTTTTTTTTTCCCCAAAGATTTTGTTATTTACTTGACAGAGAGAGAGACAGTGAGAGAGGGAACACAAGCCAGGAGGGTAGGTGGGAGGTGGGAGAAGGAGAAGCAGGATTCCCACCGAGCAGGGAGCCCGACACAGAGCTCAATCCCAGGACCCTGGGATCAAGACCTGACCCGAAGACAGAAACCAACTGAGCCACCCAGGAGCCCCTAGATTGGCTTTTATTATCTACACGACAATGACCAAAGTTTAGCTCAGTTAATTAACAACTTCCAAGAGAAAAGATACCCAAAGGAGATACCTGATTAACTATATGATATGCTAAAGCCTATTAGACCAAGATCCTAGAAAGTAGGACAACAGATAGAATATTTCATATCAGTTCTGTTCCTTTGGTAAGGCTAGAAAAACATAATTCAAATCGACTTATAACAGGATTAAAATTATTAATATGCCAAACAGATCTCCTACCTGAGGAGTTTCTACTCCTGGATTCGTGACCCTGAGGATGCCCACAGCAGCACTGACTCAGCTGCTCCAGAATGGTCCCAACTGTGAGCAGGGAAACGAGGAAAGGAGCGAGAGGTGATTCAAAACCAGTGCCGGAAGGAGCAGGTGAGCCATGCACCAGCTGCACCGTACATGACAGTCGGCAAACCCGGATGAGCACAGCTTTATTCCAGCGGGCACTTACTGACCAGCGTGCGGGGTGCTGGGTGCTGGGCACACAATGATCTAAAGAACTGCAGAATCGACCTTGAAACAAGGGCAGCAGGAAAGAAAACCGCGGGAACAAACCAATGCCTGCAACCAGTAGGTGACTTCAGACCGAGGAGGAAGGGGCTCGTGGTGTTGGCGGCTGTGGAGCTGCAGGGGGTCCAGCCAGTGGACCACACAGCCAGCAGATGGCCCAGCTGCTGTCCTTCTGCACCCACCATGCTCCTGCCGCCCGTCCCAAGCCTTGCTCCCCGAGGCTGCTCGCGGCCAACACCTGCACGAGGACGCGGCACTCGTTCAGGCTGGTTCAAGCAGGTCAGGAAATTTGGACCATCTAGGGCTTGGGGACACCCCTGGGGCCTGGCTAAAACGTCCTTAGAATTAACGCTCTAGTCACTCTAGTCAAGGTTCCCGGGCCCACTCCTCCTACCTCCCCCCTCCCTCACAGGGGTCAGGGCTGCAAGGAGGTCTGAAGGGGCTCCCCCAGAACCCTCCTCTCCCTGCCCCCCCGCACCCATCCCAGGCACCTCCCCCGTCATTCTGGCACGTCTCTGCGGCTCCCTTCTCTGCATTCTCCTCTGAGAACCCAAACCAACCAGAGGAAGAGCTGGGAGAGCTCAGGGAGATAAAGCAGACAGGACACGTAGGTCTATAACCAGATGATTACACAGGCAAGCAAGGTTAGAGCCGAGGAGGGGCCTTTTCCTTGAGGGCAAGGACAAGGCTTGGCTCTTGTCTCAGGAGACCCTGAGGTGCCTCAGGAACTGCTGAGGGGGTGAGGGAGGGCCAGGATTTTGTTTGGGGAAGATTTTTCAGCTAAACAGCAGCTTCGGAACCACTGCAATAGGTGTGGTGATACACATTTTTTTTTTTTTAAAGATTTTATTTATTTCTTTGAGAGAGAGAGACAGTGAGAGAGCATGAGCGAGGAGAAGGTCAGAGAGAGAAGCAGACTCCCCATGGAGCTGGAAGCCCGATGCGGGACTCGATCCCAGGACTCCAGGATCATGACCTGAGCCGAAGGCAGTCGTCCAACCAACTGAGCCACCCAGGCGTCCCGGTGATACACATTTTTAAAAACTATCATTATGGTGGGGGTTTTTTGAATCAGGGCTCCTGGGCATACTTCAATCCTTCGCACTCTGCCTCCTCTTGGAATTTCTTCACATTCCCTACTCCTACCTCGGCAGTTTTGCCTGAGAGTTGAGCCCTATACAGGGGTATAAAAATTTACCTTTTAGAAGTAAAAAAAATATGTATCTCTATTTATATGGGGGGCCCAGTTTGAGACCTGCTGCCCCGGGGCCCTCTCTGCCCCCAACCCTGCTCTGCCCCACGACACCAGTGCCGTCTCCCTCAGATTCTGCAGTCTCAGCTGCTTTGGCCTGTCTTGCATGTTTTCTGAAGTTGGAGCATTTTGTCTCTCAGTTCATGAAAATTGTGGTTTTAGGTTCATTTTTCTGTTTGTTTGGGGTTTTGTTGCCTGGGCTGTGGGGCTGCTCATGCAGGGATCCCCCCTGTGCCCTGCAGACTTCCCAGGCGAGGTGGAAAGACCCAGGCTGAAGCTGCCACCATCTTCCTCCCAGAGCTGGAAGGCCCCCGGGGGACCCAAGCCAGCGCTGCTGTACACATGAGTGTCTCTTAATCCTCACAAATCTGAGTGGTCAGTAGGTTAGGTGTTTCATGCAATTATTATCTAGAGTTTCTGATTTTGTGCGTTTGGAGCCCAAACCCAGTGGAGATACTTTTTATCCATGAGATCCATTTTACATTTCCAACAGCGGTCCCGACAAAGACAAACATATCTGGGGATGCTGACACGGGCCGGGGAGAAGGTAGAGAGTGGGAGGGTATGATATGGCTCCCCGTCAGCTGAAACTCACTGCCATCATGAGCTCCTAAAGACAGCATCATGTCAGATCTGCCACCGTGGGAAAAGGTGAAAACAACAGTTCCACTCTCCTTACCCAAAGGGGAAGGTGAGTAAGGCCTGGAAGACCCAGTGGAGAGTCTTCATCCGACTGTCTGCACTGTGTCTGTGGGTGCTGGGGAGCAGGATCCCAGCCGGAGGAAGCCCAGTGGGCTGGTGTTGGACCTTCGTACCACTGCAGATCTGAAAAGAAAAATAAAATGACTCCCTCTCTGGCAGGTTCTGGGCTCTCCTTCCTTTTTTCTAAAACTTCCTAACAACACGTCAGGGAGTAGAACTTTTAAAACTATGTAATATAATCACATGGAACAAATAGAAAATGTATAAAGTTATATGGCGTGAAGTCTCCCTCCCATCCTTATATTCTGTCTGCCTACTTCTCGACACTCCCTCAGTCCTACACCAAAGGTTGCCACTATTTTTAGTTTCTAAGATATCCTTTCAGAATTCCTTAAGTCATATACAAGCAAACAAACTGAAAATATAATCTTATTTTCATCTTGTTTTAACAAAGGTAATGTATACCATACCAACTATTTTGTTTTTTTGTTTGTTTTTGGTTCCCTTTATACACTTAAAATTACTGAATAGCCCAGAATTTTTTTTTAAGAGAGGGAGAGAGAGGGGATTGCGGGTGGAGGGGTAGAGGAAAAGAGAGAATCTTAAGCAGGTTCCACACTCAGCACAGAGACCAACACAGGGCTTGATCTCACGACCATGAGATCATGACCTGAGCTGAAATCAAGAGTCAGATGCTTAAATGACTGATCCACCCAGGTGCCCTTATCCCAGAGTTTCTATTTATAAAACTTGTATCTGTTGAATCTTACTGTATGAGAAGCTAAAACTGAAAAAACTGGTAATTAATAATTCATTAAAAGGAATAAACTTATTACATGTAATGTAAGATTATGAAAATTAATTATATTTTTCCAAACAAAATAAATTCATGAGAAGCATGACACTGTTTTACATTTTTTAAAATCTCTAATGTCTTGCTCAGTAGTTGGGTTCTCAGAATTGTTTGTGCATTCAATCTTTTCTGTAGCACATATATGGTGGGACACACATAGAGAAAATCCAGCCTTACACAGACATGTCGCCAGAAAAGGGAGGAATATTTTGGTAGCCTTTTCAGACTTTTGTGAAGCTTGTCTTTGAGACTACACCAAAACTCAGCCATTGGACTCCTGGATGATCTAAAAGAATCATTGCAATGTGGAATCTGAAACCATGCCAATGAAATTTTGTTTTATACTAGGATATCTTGTGCTTGGACTAGATTTTTTATCCATGCAGGATTTTTAAACACTTGGCATTTTGAATGAGTATATGCACATATTCCAAATGTTGACATATCACACAATATCAAAAAGTCACATCCATAACAAAATATCACCACAAATCTTAACAGAAGTGGCCATCAAGGCATAAGAGAAGCTGTCAAGATTACAGTGGTGAATATGGTGAGTATATTTTCAAAAATTCTAATTTTTGCTCAAGAGTTCAAATTTTATGTCGCTTGTTTTCCAGGAATGGCAGACTTCGTTCAACTGTTTTCAACAAAATGGCTGCCCAATGCCCACACCTGATAGCTTGTCAGCTGTTCTTCCATGAAAAAATGGTATTCCATGAAAAACAGGGTGAGTTCAACTTGCAGCTGAAACAATCATGCAAGTGCTTTTCCTTAAGAGAACTACTCCAATGTGCACCAAAAGTGCTTTATGCCCACAAGCTACTCAAGGTTGCGATTTTCAAAGAGAAATAGTAACTTTTACTGCTTCCTTAAAGACATTCTTTGGTACCACTACTGTGTGGTGGTAAAAGATATGAAAAACCACAGTGCATTTGGGTGCCACTACCTTGATGCATTTTAAGGCAGCAGCAGTTTGCACGTCATTGCTTCTGTATCATTAGTGCATATGTCAACATAGCGAAAAAAAGCAAAGCGTGTCCCAGTATCATTATGAAAATAGTCTTGACCTCATGAACCTTTCAAAAGGGAGTCACACACAAACCACACTTTGAAAACCACTGCTAATTCTGCTATCACTTTGCTTTTCTCATTATATAATATTCCTTGGAAATTTTTCTCCCTCAGTACAGAGAGAGCTTCCTTCCTCTTCAAGGAAGGTGCTCCACTGTCACAGACGGACGTTAAGGACTCAGTTGATTACTGGTGGGCACTTGGCTTATTTCTCATCTTCTGCTATTATCAAATTAACAACCTGTATATGTGTAGCTTCATACACAGGCAAGGACTGTGTATCTACAGAGCAAGTTATCAGAAGTTCAAGTGCTGGCTCAAAAGATGCATGCATTAATAATTTTCACAGGTTTTGCTCCAAAACATCCTTTGTAGAAAGCTCTCATGAGTTTTCATCTCATCCTATGACAGCGTGAATCTTTTTCCATTCATTGAATTATGCATTTGGAGAGCCCTTTTAATCCAAAATCTTCTACTCTCCAATTCTAGAAAATTTTTCTTGATTATTTCCTGGAAATTTTCTTCTTCAACTTGTTCTTGCTGGAATGCCCACGTTCCCTAATGTTGAAAGAATATTTTTTATTCATAGTTTCCATCGTCTTTATTTAATTGATCTATTTCAGATACAGCCTCAACTTTGTCTTTCAACATTTATTTTTATTTTCTTCAGTTATATTTTGGAATGTCCAAGAGGTCTTTTTGACATTGATTGTTTTCAACAGCATTCTGTTCTGATTTACAAATGCAGTCTCTACCCTACTTCTCAGGATACACATTTTCTACATAAGTTTTCTTGTCTTTGCATTCTTGCTATTTAGTCCAGATGCACTTTTTTGTCTTCAGCCTTATGCCTCACTTGCAGTCCTGCCTTCCCTGAGGTCTGGTGGCTGGGGTCTTGGGGGCACCGCAGGGCACTCTGACACCGGCCCTACTATAGTGGGGCCCCCTTTCATCTTGTTTCTGTTTTCCAGAAAGGTGCTGAAAACTCTCATCCACTGAGCATGTGTTCTTACCTGTCTTACCTTTGTGGACTTAGACCTTTTCATTCTTGCTACCTTAGTGGGGTTTCAGGATGTAGAGGAAATAAATAATACGTAAATGATCTGTACAACCAGTGAGGTTTCATCTTTAATAAGTTCTTCCTTAATTCTTAAGAATTACTATATATACATATCTTACTATATCATCCAGCTAAGCTTAACCACCATTTAAATAGAATTATTATAGGGGCGCCTGGGTGGCTCAATGGGTTAAGCCTCTGCCTTTGCCTCAGGTCATGATCTCAGGGTCCTGGGATCAAGCCCCGCATTGGGCTCTCTACTCAGCGGGGAGCCTGCCTCCCCACCCCCACCGACTGCCTCTCTGCCTACTTGTGATTTCCGTCTGTCAAATAAACAAATAAAATCTTTTAAAAAAATAGATTCATTACAGAAGATTTTTATTCTTCAGTTTTGTACACCTCCATGATACACACCGGTAAGAGATTATGTTAAACCATGGAAAGTAACAGATCTTTCAAAAACAACAAATTTTTTAAAAGAAAAAGAAGGAAAAAAAATACTCGCTTACCTTGGAGAACCATGTAGATTTGTGCCAGAGCTGGCAGGAGATGTAAGATTCTGCTCTATGCGCTGATAATTCCTTATCTGAGTAGGAACTGGAATTGGTGCTGTCTTGCTGTGAGGCGACACAGTGGGCTGGCACTGACTGCAACGATCATGGATTGAGAAAGGAAAGAAATCCAAATGGGACTGTTTCTCTTTCATTTGACACCTTGGCGATATTTAGAGAAAATTCTAGAAGAGACCAAATGATCACATTCATGTGAATAAAAAATGATCATCTCAAATATAAGGCCAAAAAAAATCACACTGGAACTCTCCAGGCATTTATAAGCATTTTGGGACTAAGAATCATAATAAGAACTAGAAAAACATTCCTCTACAACAGTAGAAGTCTGTAGGCTGGCAAATTTCTATTTCATCTGCTCATGTTCTGCTATTCGTTATTATGTGAGGAGAAAAAAATATTTCTAGGAAAATATGCTGGGTAAAAGAACAGGAAGTTCAAGAGCAAAGATGACTGGAATGTTTACAAAAGTCATGAATGCAGTAAGCATTCCCAAAGAACTCTGACTTTTAAAAAGATTGAAAATAACACTGTACAACTCTCAAAGCACATGACCGATCTGAGGTCCAGATGCTGAAGTGTTAGTACTGGGTTTCTGTAATAGCCTCTCTCCTTGCTTTTCATAAATTTGGAAACAGTATGTCCTTTCAATTCAATCTACAACCTATCAAAACATCAGGGACAATACTGGACCTTAAAAAAGATGATTTATTTCATTCTTCTGTCTGTCTATAATACTAAAAAAGCCCCATGAATCTAACATTTTTTCTCAAATTACACTGCAGATACAAAGAGATCAGAGATCTAGTTAGCTAACAAACAGTATGATTATCTTTTAAAGTGTCACTTTAGGGCTTTCTGAACCATTAGAGTATCTCATATTCAAATAAAAAGAAAATCTCATCATAGAGATCATAGCTGCTTTCCCCAATAACCATTCACCCACTCTTTCTTACTAGCTGAACTCAAATTTTATGGAAGGTGGTGATTTGCTCAGTGAAATTATGATACATCCCAGACTCCTTTGCAGCCATCTCTCTCTCTCGGTCAGTAAGGTCTAAGTAGAAGCCTTCTATCCATTCTTCCTCTTTCCTCCTACCCGGAACGTGGTACACTTGCTGGAGCTTCAGCAGCTACCTCTAAACCGTGAAGAACTTGCCAAAAGAACTGGAGACAAATTCCTTGAGCCACAGAAACAAAGGCAACAACCATTTATTTTGACTTCTCATCTTGCAAGGAAACTACATCTTTGGTGTTAACCACGCTGTGGTCAGGACTGTTGTTTCTAGCTTTTAGTCTATCAGCTCTACTCTTCATTTAGGTAATTCCCATTAAGTATCATATATTTATTTATCCATCCATCCTTCTCTACTAAAGTACAGTCGGCACGCAATGTTATATAAGTGACAAGTGCAACATTAACTATCTTTTAAATACAATGATTTGTGCTTTTAATATTTATATACCTGATTGTGAAGTTGATCTATAACCTGAAAATTAAACAAAACAAAACAAAAAACTTCTACTACTGGAAACTAAACAGCATTACAAGACTTCACTCGCCAACCATAGTGCCTGCAACCCAGAGCACACAGGCCTTAGAGCCCAAGTTCCACTGAAAGGCCAACCAGCAAGGCCATCAAAGATCAGAATGTGAAGGAAGAAATATCATCTTTCTACAGTCTCACTTCAATGAGTAAGTATACTGTTGGTGTACATCGAGGGCTTTTTAAAAAATATATACATATTCAAGCTCTGATATTTTTCCTGTACTAGTTAATCACCAAAGGAAAATTAGAGTAGAATAAAACTACCCCAAGAAGTAAACTTAGCAACTTCATACATAATTCAAAGCCCCTGTCCAAGGGAATCTCAGGCAATCCTCCCCCAGCATGTGAGGACGTGAGCAGCCATGCCAGGTGGCCTGTAAATCTGGTCTGTCCGGACAGAATCTCCAAGCAGACTTGCTCCATCTACACGGTCTTCCCTGGAGAAATTCCCAGAGCTCCAGCTAGCTAAGCCCACTGCAGCCACTTTTCTGTCTAGCTTTATATTAATAAAACTATTCAACCACCACCTGATTACCTAAGCCCAAGGTGAGGAGAGGGCAGGTCTATGTAGGCCCCGAGTCTCCAGCACGAGTGGAAAGTCATCTTTGACCTGCATTGAATACTAGAAAGACTAAGCAGTCTGCCCAAAATACAATATGCTGTTATTTTATTGAAATGAAGAATTTTTGTCTAGAGGTCAGACATTTTCCTAGAAAGAAATACAGTGAAATATTTCAAAATAATTTCAGTAAAAGTGAGGTTCTAAGGGAAGAATGAGATATACTACCACTAACATTATAACGACTGGCCTACGAGATGATAGTTGTTAGGACATGGAGCTCCAGGATTTTAATGGCTCTGCAGAGAATATGTCTTGTTCCTGCATCAGACCATTTTGATTTTGCATACAGCATAATTTTAATGTATTTGTAATAATCTGTTTCCACATGCACTTAATAGCCTGTGGTAGAGTATATGATTTTTTTTCAAACTACTCACTACCTCTCTCTAAACCCCCTTCTACAGCCCCTAGTGTGTGTACTCCTGCCACAACCCCCGGGCAGCAGGCTGAGAGAGAGCTCCCATGGGGGACATGCTGTTCCCTCTGCAGAGCAGAAGCTGTCAGAGCCATTATACAGTTCTGCTATCACTATTGTTTCCCTCTCTTGGAAGACCGGCATGTCCCAATTCTTGTATAGAGTATGAGACAAAAGTACCAAAAAAGCTATAGATCTATGTGATTATTAGGAACACAAACATGCAATTTGTGACATCAGGAACATAAGGGGGAAGGGGGAGTAAACTCCCATACTCTCTAGAATTTTTGTATGCAACTGAAGTTCAGCTTAAAATGGATTGTTGTAGCTTTTTTTTTTTTAAGATTGTATTTACTTATTTGACAGAAAGACAGACAGAGAGTACAAGCTGGGGAGCAGCAGGCAGAGGGAGAAGCAGACTCCCTGCTGAGCAGGGAGCCTGATGTGGGATTCGATCCCAGGACCCTGGGATCATGACCTGAGCCAAAGGCAGATGCTTAACCAGTGGAGCCACCCAGGACAGGTGGCCCATGGACTGCTATATCTTTTTTTTAAGATTTTATTTATTTATTTGAGAGAGAGAGAGAGATCACAAGGAGGCAGAGAGGCAGGCAGAGAGAGAGGGCAAAGCAGGCTCCCCACTGAGCAGAGAGCCCAACTGGGACTCGATCCCAGGACCCTGAAATCATGACCTGAGTGGAAGGCAGAGGCTTTAACCCACTGAACCAACCAGGCACCCCTTAATTTAAATTTTAAAAAGACTTTATTTATTTATTTGAGAGAGAAAGAGAGAGAGCATGAGAGGGGTAAGGGTCAGAGGGAGAAGCAGACTCCCCACTGAGCTGGGAGCCCAAAGCAGGACTTGATCCTGGAACTCCAGGATCATGACCTAAGCCAAAGGCAATCACTTTACTGAGCCACCCAGGCACCCAATAAATCTTAAAAAAAAAAAAAAAAAGATATTCCATGCAAATAGTAACCAAAGGACAGCATGAGTGGCAATATTAATATCAGACACTTTCAGCCAAACACTGTTACAAGAGACAAAAAAAAGACATTACTAAAGGGTCAATTAACCAGGAAAATATAACAGTTATAAATATTTATGCATCAAACATCAGTGCTCCGAAATATATGAAGCAAGTATTGACAGAATTGAAGGGAGAAATACACAATTCCACACTAACAGTTGAACAATTCAATACTCTGCTTTCAATAATGGACAGAACAACCAGATGAATGAGCAATAAAGAAACAGGACTTGAACAATGCTCTAGACCCTGTAGATATATACAGAACACCCTTCCCACCACAAACAGAAGAATATACATTCTTCTCAAGTGCACACAAAACATTTTCCAGGATAGATGACATATTAGGCCACAAAACAAATCTTAAAATTTTAAAAGACTGAAATCATACAAAGTATCTTTTCCAATCATTATAGATAGAAAGTAGAAATCAACAGAAGAAGGAAAACTAGAAAATCCACAAATACATAGAAACTAAACAACACACTCTTAAACAAACAAGAGGCCAAAGAAGAAATCACAAAATAAATCAGAAAATATCTTGAGAAAAATGAAAATATAAACACAATATACCAAAACTTATGGAATACAGCAAAAGCAACACTAAGATAGATGTTTATAGCTGTACATGCTAACATTAAAAAAAAAAAAACTCAAGTCAAAAACTTAACTTTACCCCTCAAATTATAAAAAGTAAAAACTAGGAGCACCTGGGTGGCTCAGTCAGTTGGGCATCCAACTCTTGCTTTTGGCTCAGGTTGTTATCCCACGGGTTGTAAGATCAAGCCCCACGTTGGGCTCCATTCTCGGCAGGGAGTCTGCTTGAAGATTCTCTCCCTCTGCCGCTTCCCCCACTCACACACACTCACTCTCTCTCTCTCCCAAATAAATAAATCTTACCAAAAAAAGTATAAACTAAACCCATTTCCTTTAAAAAAAAGGAAATCATGAAGATTAGAGCAGAGATAAACAAAACTGAGAAAGCAGAAAAATTAAACTAATAGTTGGCATTTTAAAAAAATCAACAAAACCAACACTTAGCTGGGTTAAGTAAGAAAAAGAGAAGACTCAAAATCAGAAATGAAAGAAGGAATGATGACTAATGCCACAGAAATAGAGAGGATTATAACAGAATACCATGAACAAACAAGTGCTTGCCAACAAGTCGGATAACCTACAAGAAACTGATAACTTTCTACAAACACATAGCCTACCAAGTTTGAATGATAAAGGAAGAGAAAATCTGAATGGACCATAACTAGTTAAGGAGATTGGATCAGTAATCAAAAGTTCCCAATAACAAAAAAAGCCCAAGACCAGATGTTTCACTGGTGAATTCTACCAAACATTTAAAGAATTAGCACCAACATATCTCAAAATCTTTCAAAATATTAGAGAGGAGGAAACACTCCCGAACTCCTTCCATGAGTTCAGCATTACACTAGTACCAAAGCCACTCATAGATACTACCAAAAGACAAAAATAAAAACAAAAACAAAAAACCAGAACAGTTCCTCTGATGAAA